AGGTCTGGGTGAGAGCTGGTGCTCCCGCCCTCACAGCTGCTTTGCAGTCGTGTGACCTGGGACACCCCTCCAGGCAGGACTGCAGCCCGGCTACACCTGGCTCGGCGTCCAACCCTGGCAAACGTTCTGCTAGCCCAGGCCACCGAGTGTTCAAAATGATTTCTGAGCACGGCTGAATGAAAATGCTGAGGGACATAAGTATTTTTACTTTCTTGTTGCATTATCCCTTCCAATTAACTTGTCCTGGCTTAATGACAGCACTGTGGTGCCTTCTTTGTTCTTGTTTTTGTTGTTGTTGATGTAGTTATTGGTTTCAGGTTGTAAAACTCAGGCTAATTACGGAACATTTTTAATATTGATACCTAACTGTCCTCCTTGATTTTTGCGGGAGGTTTTCTGGTGAAATGTAAATGGGAAATAAGCATTTGTTTGTTTGGAAGTGAAGTGTTATCAGGTTTAGGGAAGAGGATATAATTTGTGCTCTTTGTTGACCAGCTGAATTGGGACTTTTGCTGTTTTAAGCCTAATGAGTGAGTGAAAAGAGCCTGCAGCAGCAGACAAGACTTTGTCTTCAACCATTAAGATGGTAAAAGGTGTCAGATTTCCTAGCAAACCATGGATAACTTGGCTCAGAGAGGGAAGCCCTGGCTCTCCTTAGCGCACAGCGGGTGCTGCCCAGGCCTTGCAGTGCACACAGAAGTGGCTGCTTGACCGTTACCTGAGGGGCTTCCCCTCAGCCAGAACTGTCACAGAAATCACCAAGTACCATAGCAAAATAAACCAAGTGAACGACCTGCCCGAGCGGCTGCGATGCCCGGCCACAGTCCTGGGCGCCGGGGCCCAGCTGAGCAGGCATGGGGTCCCATGGAGGCTTCGGCCCTCCCTGGTGTCAGGTCTGCCCGTGGGCTCGTGGTGCTTGAGAAGGTGGCACCTTGGTGTTAATCATTGGCTGCATCTCCAGTTAATGCTCATGGCTCAGCTGGTGCAGGAAGTCACAGAGTCACAGACTGGTTGAGGTGGGAAGGGACCTCTAGAGATCACCCAGTGCAACCCCCTGCTCCAGCAGGGACACCCAGAGCACRGGGCACAGGGTGGCAGCCAGGCGGCTTTGGAAGATCTCCAGAGAAGGAGACTCCACAGCCTCCCTGGGCAGCCTCTTCCAGGGCTCTGGCACCCTCACGGGAAACAAGTTCCTCCTCACCTGGAGATAGAACTGCCTGGGTTTCAACTGATAGCGATGAGGGGAAGCGGGAGTCTGAGGAGAAAGGAGACCCGAAAGACGTTGCAAACAAGCCAGGATGGAGGAGCCAGAAGGACATGAGCCCCAAGTGCTACCATCAGTGGCACCGTGATGCTTTCCAGAGACAAAGAACAGACCAGGCACCGGCTCAAGCAGCAGATTCAGTCTCTGTGCAAGTGCTCCTGAGCAGAGAAATGGTGCAAACCCTGCTGAGGACAGAGAGATAATAGAAGAAGGACCTATGGAAAAGCAGGCAGGAAATGATAAAATGAGATGCGGCTTGGAAAAATACAAGTGAATACACGCGGGGCTTAACATTTAGTAACAAATTCAGTGGGAGGAAAAGAACTGGAAAGCAGAAGATGGAGAGGGAGGGAGGAAAATTGCAGCTCCAGCAGTGAGAGTAATTTAGGTACTTGGAGAGGGAGGCGCTAAGGCCAACGCGCYGGTCTGGGATTCAAGATCTGCCCCACATCCTGCGGGCGTTACGCTGCGGATTTAGGGGGCTGTGGCGGGTGCCCAGATAGAGGGTCACAGGGGTGTTGAGATACAGGGTTCCTAGGGAAAGGGCCTTCTCTGTGACCCTCGTGTGCGGGAGGGCTTGTGCCGGGCCTCAGGAGCATTCGGCCATGGTTCACGTGCCAGCGAGGAGCGATCCCTCGGGCCGGCCCGATGGCACCACCGGCCTCGGTGCATGTGGGGCCTTCAGGCTCATTCAGAGTGAGGCGGGAAGAAAAGATACGGGAATAACCCCAACCACCCMAAACTGCAGGAGCTTCTTGGGGCAGGTTTCCTGTATAAGAGAGAGAACCAGGAGAATGGAAGACTTTCTGCTGGTCGAGGAAGATTGGAATAGGGATTATTTAGACAAATTGGACACCCATGGGCCTGGATGGGATGCACCCAAGAGTGCTGAGGGAACTGGCGGGGGTTATTGCTCAGCTGCTCTCCATCATCTTTGAGAGGTCCTGGAGAGCAGGGGAGGTGCCCAAGGACTGGAAGARAGCCAACGYCACTGCAGKCTTCGAAAAGGGCAAGAGGGAGGAGCCGGGCAACTACAGGCCGGTCAGCCTCACCTCTGTCCCTGGAAAGGTGATGGAGCAGTTCATCCTAGAGAGCAATCTCTAGGCATATGAAGGAGAAGGAGGTGATCAGGAGTGGTTACAATGGATTCACCAAGGGGAAGTCATGTYTGATGAACCTAATAGCCTTCTACGATGGGGTGACAGGCTGGCTGGATGAGGGGAGAGCCGTGAAAGTTGTCTACCTTGACTTCAGCAAGGCTTTTGACACTGTCTCCCATAATATCCTCATACAGAAGCTCCGGGAGAGTGGACTGGACAGATGGACAGTGAGGTGGATCGAGGGCTGGCTGGATGGCAGAGCTCAGAGGGTGGTGATAAATGGGGCCGAGTCCAGTTGGAGGCCTGTGGCCAGTGGTGTCCCCCAGSGGTCAGTGCTGGGCCCRGTGCTGTTCAACTTGTCCATCAATGACCTGGACGAGGGCACGGAATGCACCCTGAGCAAGTTTGCAGATGACACCAAGCTGGGTGGAGTGGTCGACACTCCGGAGGGCTGTGCTGCCATCCAGAGGGACCTGGACAGGCTGGAGAGTTGGGCAGAGAGGAACCTCATGAGGTTCAATAAGGACAAGTGCAGGGTCCTGCACCTGGGGAGGAATAACCCCAGACACCAGGACAGATTAGGGGTCGACCTGCTGGAGAGCAGCTCCACGGAGAGGGACCTGGGAGTCCTGGTTGACACCAAGTTAACCATGAGGCAGCAGTGCCCTYGTGGCCAAGAAGGCCAATGGGATCCTGGCTGCATCAGGAGGATGTTGCCAGCAGGTCAAGGGAGGTGATTCTGCCCCTCTACTCAGCTCTGGTGAGGCCGTACCTGGAGTATTGGGGGCAGTTCTGGGCTCCCCAGGACAAGAGGGATGTGGAGCTTCTAGAGAGGGTCCAGCGGAGAGCGACAAAGATGATTAAGGGACTGGAACATATCTCCTATGAGGAGAGACAGAGTGAATTGGGCTTGTTTAGCTTGGAGAAGAGAAGGCTGAGAGGGAATTTGATTAACAGGTATAAGTACATGAAGGAGGAATGTAGGGAAGAAGGGGCCAAGCTCTTCTCGGTGGTGGCCAGTGACAGGACAAGGGGCAATGGGYACAAGTTGAAACTCAGGCAGTTCCATCTCCAGGTAAGGAGGAACTTCTTTCCTGTGAGGGTGACAGAGSCCTGGAACAGGCTGCCCAGAGCTAAAACCTTGTTTATGTGCCCCACGATGGGTTTAGCAAGAGCCTGTGGTACAGACGGTTCCTTCCAATTTGCAACTACAAAATCTCCTAGAAAAACCTGAACAGCAGCAGCTTGTCTCGCTTAAGGGAACAACCAGCAGCACCAGCTTCACCTCCTGGGCAGCAGGAGAAAACATCTTTCCGGGCTGCTTGTCCCAATTTCCAAGTCACCCGTGAGGACCCATTTCCCATTCGTGCCTGCCCCCTTCCCATGTAAAACCCCTGGGGCTGCCCATAACGGCTCATGGAGAAGCCATCCATTCCTGATGCCAAAGAGATAAGTTTGGACTCCGGGAGCCACATCCTCATGGCCAGTGGCTCCCTCACCTCCAAACACATCGGTGGCTCAGTGGGCTCTGGATCCACGTTAGGACAAGTTGGACTTTGCTTTTGGCCAGAGCCTTGGCTGGCCGGAGCTGCTCTTGCAGCAGGACAGCCTGGCGCTCACAGAGGCACCAGCTGAAGARCAAAGCACCATGACAGGGCAAACCTCAGGGGAAAAACATATTTATTAAGTAACAAGGGCAGATTTTTTCTTCCTTGTGTAGGAAACACTTTAAAATCAAGTGCCCTTTCAGAGATTTAAAGGCTATATCAAATGTTAGCATTGGTTTTACATTATTACACATAGCCTAAAAAGAAAAAAGAGAAAGCACACACCAGATTTCACAAACTTTCTTTTATTACCACTCCAGTTTCTCTTCCTTCCATTGTAAATCAGTTTCTACAGATTTAAATTTAACTTATTCATAGTTTTTTAAAACAAGTGAACACTATACAGAGAGCTTCCCCCCAGGGGCCTRGTGAGCAGGGGCAGGAAGAGTGGCCGCATTCCCAGCGGGAAAGGGCCCATCCGTGGGCTTGTYGCCCACCCACCAGGCAGGAGGCACCGGCGCTGAGCACTTCCCGCTGCTGTCGGAGCCACGGGCAAGCGGAGGCCGCCCAGCCTCCTTTCTTTTAACCCAAAACTCCACTTTGGAGGTGAGAATAACTGAACTTGGTCAGTTTAAAGGCTCAGGAGACCCGAGCATGGAAAACTCCTTCAAAAGCGCGTGAGTTGTTCGCTTTAGGGTGTCCCGCTGCTGCTGCACCTACAGCATCCCAATATCCCGCGAGACCCCGGTTGTCTCCGCAGGTGTTTAACCCCTTGGAGCAGCCCTGGCCTCTGCAGCACCAAGCGGGCCGGGGACCAGGCACCCCCTGCACGGAGGATGCCGGGCACACGTGGAGACCAGGCCCTGCTCTCTTCCCATTCCGCAAAGGTCCCACATCCCGAACAACGAGACCCCCCCATAGATCTGGCATGAGCCACCCATCCCTCTTCCCATTCCAGTGGTCCAAAGCATTTCTTCCTTGAGCAGGTGGCTTGCGTGTGTGGCGCGGGCGCAAGTAAACCACTAGAGCTGGCAAGGATTCCACGAGTATGTGTAATTTTAAAACAAACATACAAAAAATAGTAGTATCACAGTTATTGCTACATACTGATACAGTATCGGACAATAAGAAACCCTTTATCAGCTCTGGTCTGGTTACAGTAATCGCCTGGTTTCAGTCTGCCCTTCTCCTGCTGTGGTCTTGCATCAGAAGAACAAATCATTGAAATACAGAGTAAAAATTTTTGAAAAGACAAARACGGGCTTAAGAGATGGTGAGGTTTGCTTAGAAAAAAGGTCTGGGGTGGCATTTTACAAAGAGCACAACGATTATTTGGCCTCTTCCTTTCCCCAAATAAACGGGGCAGAACAAGCGCCGTGGGCACTCGCGCAGCAGCCGCGCGCAACGGGGAGGTTAAACACGTCAGTTCTTTGGTTGGACCCGATTTGTTCTTCTCAGTGCAGGTTTCATTGGCAGTTCAGTCTTTCTGCCCCAAGGGATAAAGAATAAAACCCCGGGGAAAGGCTGCAGGGTCCCTGCAGAGCCCCCCGAGCTGGATGTGGGGCGGCTTTTCTCGCCATCGCCTCTGTCCCGGGCGTCRGGAAGTTGGATGGGACCCACGGAAGAACAAAACCCACTTCCAGTGGGGCTCAATTACGAGGCAGTGGTGAGGTTTGGGCCTCAATGGTTGGGCACAGGCATGCGGGGCCGCTACTTGCTGGGAAACGGGGTTAAATTGGGCAGTTCTGGAGCTGCTCATGACCCTTCTCTGCACGCTTAGCTCCAGCTCAAACGCGGAGACAATCCCAAACAAACCTGCTGCTGAGAGCCAATAACGAGCAAGTGACTCGTACCCTGTTTGTACTAAAAAGTTCACAAAGATAAAGTTTGTGCAAACCACTAACTAGCTCYGGTCTTGGGGGGAAAAACCTCAAATCAAGGGTTTCAAGTGCACCAAAAGCAGAGCAGGGTAATTCGTACTCTGCTACTTCCTACATAAATACAAGGGATGAGGAAAGCTGCTCTTTGTGTGGCTCCAGCCCGAGCTCGGGGCGCCAAGGAAGCACAAAGCCCATCCCAGGAGCTCCACTGCTCCACTCGGCCGTGATTGTCTGGAAAAGCAACGGGAAGCGGCACCAGGGAACGGCGGGAGCAGGGAAGGGAAGGGAGGGGAGGGCTCGCGAGAACTGCCCAGGCCGTGGCGAGGCCCTGGCTACGAGCTCGTGAGCGAGAGCTCCCGACCGCGTCGCACCTGGAGCGCGCTCCGTGGCTCCGGCGTCTCTCCCACACGCGGCGCCCCGAAGCGCGCGCGCGGATCCAGCGTAATCCTTCATCACTGTAAATCACGCGCCGGAATGAGAGCGTATCTGGAGCCGCTAACGCGGAGATACYGTCCCACGGCTCCTGGCGGCAGCCCCGACGGTTTATAAACACAGTCCGACATGCACGAGCCCCTCAGTTATCTACAAGCGACGTCCYGGGAGCCTCGTTCCAAGGCAGGACTTCTCCCCGGCTCAGTCCGGGCACAAACACCCAYGGGAAGGGCCGGGCCGGGCCAGGCCCGGAGACCCCCGAGGTCACACCGTCACCGCCGGGTACATCTTCTGCTCGGCGCCAGCATGCGGGAAGGGGGACTGGATCTGCCGGTAGGCGCCCTGCAGGCCGTCCAGGAAGGGGCCCACGGGCGCCAGGGGCACGGCGTCGTGCTGCACCGCGTAGCCCACGTAGGGCGCGTGCAGGTACTGGCCCTGGTGCGGCACGATCTGCGTGGCCTGCTGGCAGTTGAGCACCGAGAAGTTGGTGGGCATGTTGACGTAGACGTTGTTCATGGCGCCCTCGGGCAGGCAGCAGCTGGTCTGGGAGCGCGCGGGCGGCGCGCGGGCGCCCGAGTTGGCGCTGGAGCTGGAGCTGGCGGCGGCGCTCGACTGGCGCGACGAGGAGCCGCGGGACGTGCTGGCGCTCGGGATCATGGGGATGGTCTCCAGGAGGCGGCTGCCGCCCGGCGCCCGGCTCTGCTGCGGCTCCTGCTTGGGCCGCAGGCAGCGGCAGCAGCAGGCGGCCACCAGCGAGCCCACGATGATGAAGGCCACGAAGACGGAGCCCACGATGAGGAAGGGCACGTAGATGGGCACTGCAGRGGGGAAGGAGAGCGTTGGCCATGGGGAGATGCTGTGAGCACCCAGCGCCGTCACCCGAGGGGGCTGCCCAAACCCGCAGCCTGGCAGAGCACCCTCGAGGGCGTCCCCAGCTCCAGAGGCCTCCATGGGGAACGTGCGGGGACATTCCCGGGAGCACCACACCACGTGCCCGGGTTTCATCGCTCCTATGCAACCCGGCAGCCCCCCGGGAAGCTCCTGGAGACTCCGCACGGCCCCGGAGCCCCGCACAGGAGAGCGACCACAAAGCCCCACTTAACCACCGAGCGCAACGCCCCACGTTAAGGGCTGCGATGGGGGTGCAGTGTCCGGGATGAGGAGGCCGCTCAGCGCCGGGCTCTGACGCGCCTGGCTCTGAAGCAGGAGGCCGCGGAGCCGGGCGCGTTGGCCGCGGCAGGTGCCTCGCTTCCCAGCGCGGATCCCTCCCAACCGCGGCAGCGCCCGGGGCTGCTCGGGGCGCTCGGCAGCCGGGAGGCCAACGAGGCTCGGCTTAAAGAGCGGGACAAACGCTCCGGCTTATCCTCGAAATGCGCTCCCGTGCAAACCGCGCTGAAGCGGCGCTCCGGGCCCCACGCAAGCCCAGGGCAGCGACCGCCTGGATGTCGCCCCCAAACGCCGCTGCCCCCTCCGCAGCCCCGGCCCCGCTGCCCCCGCACCGGCCGTTTCCGTTCACTCCAGCGCCCTCCCCGTCTCGCGGCCGTTTCGGCCGCCCCCGGGCACGGCGGGAGGCGCCGCCGCTTCCCCTGCGAGCCCGGACAGCCCCGTCGGACAACACGAGAGCCCGAGCACTTCTTCCTTTCCCCCCTCCCTGTTTTAGCAGCCCGCCCCGTCGCGACGGGCACCGGCGGGACGTGGCAGCAGCAGCCGCGGAGCGGGGACGGTTCAAACCCGCCGTGAACGCAGGGCGGCCGCCGGGAAGCGGCGCCGGGGCCGCCTCACCTGCCGCGCCGTCGGGGCCCTCCTTGCCGGGCCGGCCCTGCTCGGCGCCGCCGCCGAGGCGCCGGTCGTTGTCGCAGGCGCCCTGGTCGAGCCGCGCCTCGGCGCTGGAGCAGCAGTAGCGCAGCGCGCAGGTGCCGCAGCAGATGGTGGCGTCGCCGCCGTCGAAGCGCTCGGGGCACTGGAAGCCGTCGCGCCAGGCGCCCTGCGCGTCCAGCCAGCCGTGGCAGTACTCGCCGCTCGCCGCCGCGCCCGCGGGCAGCAGCCAGCCCAGCGCCGCCAGCAGCAGCGAGCAGCGCCCGCCCCACATGGCGCCGCCGTCAGAGCCGCCCCG